GGCACTGCCACTCACGGTATCTACCTGACTCGCTCCTCGACAGACTATCTCCAGGCTTATTCTGATGCTGATTGGGCTGGCTGTCCCGACACCAGACGCTCCACTTCCGGGTACTGTATTTTTCTGGGTGACAACCTGATTTCCTGGTCTTCAAAACGCCAGGCAACCACTTCCCGTTCCAGTGCAGAGGCAGAATACCTGGATGTGGCAAATGCAGTTGCTGAGACTTCTTGGGTATGAAATCTTCTTCTTGAGCTCCAGCAACCACTACGACGCGCCACCCTTGTCTTCTGCGACAACGTCAGCGCCGTCTATCTCTCATCGAACCCAGTTCAGCACCAGCGCACTAAGCACGTTGAAGTCTACATACACTTTGTGCGAGACAAAGTAGAACTCGGCCATATCCGAGTCCTTCACGTGCCCTCCTCTTCACAGTATGCTGACATCTTCACCAAAGGTCTACCTTCTCTACTCTTCCTCGAGTTTAAGTCCAGTCTGGGTATCAGACCCCCTCCTCATCCGACGTAGCCGGGAGCATGTTAAATATATTCTATATTTAATGTAAATATATTGTTTCCTATTATTGTCTCCTACCTTGTATAGGATTAGAAACTCTTACATATATATAGACATGTACTCTCACATATTTGATCAATGAAATTAACCTTTCTACACTTTTAAGTACAATTTGGGGTACACTTCTTGGTGTACCCTAGCATGGTTGTAAAAATCTTTATTTTTATATATAAAATTTGAGAGTTGAACTCTCTTAATCACGACATGTGACAAGTCCACTTGGCAAAATTTTAACAAATCATCCGCCACTTTTTAATGACTTGAATGATGTGGCAATTTAATCAAAATATATAGTGTATGCCTTATACACGGAGTTCCACTATAATTTTTTTAAATTTTTATCTTTATATATTAAAATTGAGAGTTGACTTCTAGAATTGTAACATATGTCACCTTTATTAGATAATGTTTTATATGTTAGTAACTATTTGAGCCATCAAGCATTGCCTTGAACTCTCCTTATTACGGAGTATATTCTTTCTGATTTCCTTAATTGAAAGAGATACATAAATGATAATCAAATTTTGTTTTCTTAAAAAAACAAAACAATATAAAATTGATATTTAAATATATTTTTGAAAATTAAAAATATATACTACACATATTAAAAGGCATAAACATATTAATGGATAAATAATACAATGTTTTAATGTGTAATAAGTTAATTATTACTTGGTGTTTATAATAGAATATTTTATGGTATAATATTAAGTGTTATAAATGTAATCACTATCAAATAATATTCTTAAATACTAATTGTTATATTCTTGGTTACAAATTAATAGCTATATTCTTATATGGTTAATGGTACACACATTATTTATGAAAAATACATAACATTTAAAAATTATAACAAGTAATTAATGGATAAAAGTATACATATATTTTTAATATTTAAGGGCTTAAAGATAATACTACGAACATTTAAAAGAAAAAATTTATATATAGTCCGTAATGCCTTTTTCAAATAAGACATACTTTATTTATATAAAAATGCAACAAACCAAATTACCATCTTTGAACTCAACATTAATTTTCACATGCTTCTACGCTCTTGAAAAAAACCACTAGCCATTTGAGTTTGCAAGAAATAAATGAATGTTAAGAGTAAGAAAATTATGTTGCTAAAAATTATTTGAAAGAGGTTTATATATATATATATATATATATATATATATATATAGGGGTGAGTTCCTGTGAGAAAAAACCTTGGTGAAAGAAATAAGAATAAATCTCAGGCATAAGATTGAATGCATCGTGCGGCCATAAATTGATTGGGATGGGGTCTAACCGTGTGTGATATATTTGGGAAGTAATAATTGCAATGCATTTAATTAGGATTAAATTGGTTAAGAGGGGTATATTAGGAATTTGAAATACATAATAAATTTTGGAAATACTCACAATGTCGTACACTCCTATTAATACCTAGACACGTCATACGCTAGGGGTATTATATTATATTATTAATTTCATATCATTTAATATTGTATTGTGTATTATTTTTTATATATAATTTTTTGTACACAGGTCCGTTTTTGACAAATAATATGTCGTTGGAAATCTTTCGTTGAGATATACCCAATGACATTAATATTGAATATAATTCATCCATAATCTAACGCGAATGAACTTTGATGGTTGATATGTGCACTTTGTTTTGTCCTTTAATTTAATTCAAATTTTATTCTATTAATTTTGATTTTTAAAATGCAGAGTAACTTAACAGGATTCATTATCTAAAGTAAAAATGCATCTTATATTCTCTGTAATGCATATCAATGGTGTATATCATGCATTTTAAGCGTGAACCCAAATTCCTTAGTTTTACACTGAATCCCAAAATATGATGGTTGATATGTGCACTTTGTTTTGTCCGCGAATGAACTTTGATAGTTGATATGTGCACTTTGTTTTGTCCTTTAATTTTATTCAAATTTTATTCTATTAATTTTGATTTTTAGAGTGCAAAGTAACAGGATTCATTATCTAAAGTAAAAATGTATCTTATATTCTCTGTAATGCATATCAATGGTGTATATCATGCATTTTAAGCGTGAACCCAAAGTCCTTAGTTTTACACTGAATCCCAAAATGTGTAACCAGAATGTACATAAATGCAAAGTAAATTTAATGTTGAAAAAATTAAAATGAATAAGATATCACACCATAAAATATCAATTTTTAATTCAGAAAAAATTTAGACTGTAAAATTAGACTTCTTAAAAATCTATTCATTCACGTTAGGATTCTAATTTTATCAGTAACACACGTAAGAGAAGAAAAAGAGACCTACAAAAAGATTTTTTTTGGTACACAACAAATAAATATTAGAATAAAAGAAAAGATTCTTAAGAACAAAACCTAATAAACATAGAGACGAAAAGTGTATACGTTCTCCTCCCACACATTGCATTTCAAGTGAGAACTAACATGTAAACTTTAGCTACCAAGTAAATGCACAATTACAAAGCCACTATGCATTAGACAACAATAGTAATGCACCACGTAAAATTGAGAAGCATCTGGGTAATCTTGAATACTAAACTAAGAAAGAAATTAATACAATTCTCCTCTAATTTAAAATCAATATCTCCAATAAAAAACAATAAACAACATACAATTATAAACGTAAAAATCAACAATCCCATTTTATAATCTGATTGAGTGAAGCAAAACATGACATAAAAAATGCAGCAGCATATTTCGCCTTATACTCAAGTACCCCGGGTGTATATCCATCTATTTTCTTCTTATCTTCATAGCCTGATAGCTTAGTCCTCATATTCGTCTCTCGCTTCAATGTCAATATGTGCAACATCTTGTTTAGGACGATTCTTTCAGCAAAATGTTACTTAATCATCCACTTGTATGAACTTGTGTAAGTTCTAGTTTTGACTCTTTGTTGATATTAACACCTGAGCTTCAATCACCAACTCTTTATTGATTCACAAGCACATCTACCACATTTATAATGCATCATAGACACAGAAAAAACAAAAGCATTTACTGAATATCATTGCATTTATAACTATTATTTGCATCAACATTTAGAAGTTGTACCTCATGAGATAAAAAGTTAACCACACTATGCATATAGAGCATGAGACTATGCACTAGAGAGATCCTTTAAAGCAACTATGTAAATATGTGGCCTAAACCAAGATCCATTAAGGACAATATCTAAGAGGTAGCAATATCCAAGCGCTAAGATGCACTGCTAACACACAAAATGAATGTGCACTTTGTACTTAACATAATGCATTACCTTGATGCAATATGTAACTGCTAAAAATGCACTACACACATTAGATAGGAATTTTCTAAATGCAGAACTTTTTGAGGGCAACACTCAAGAATTAGCAATATTTAATCCTTATGATGCATTACAAACATCTAATTGAGGGCTAGCAGCATCAAATCAATTCCAAAGATGAACTGCAAACATTTTGTGTTGCATCAATTCTCAAACTCAAAATTGAAAGTTTAATTCTAAACAGAATCATGAAATTTAATTTATAATATTATTCAATTTAGATTTTTCATTTCAGAATTATGAATGTAAAATTGAGTAATATTATCAAAAGGGTGATTTATTAATTCATCTTGAATTGCAAAGAAATCATGTAGAAATAACATAAATACATTAAAAAATTAAATAAAAAACTTACATGTAGGGGAGACAACGCCCAAATGAATCAAGAAGACTAGATCCAAGAACTTAATAATTCATCCTAAAAAATGAGATCCTAATCTTCCGGAACTCGTTGCTGCTCTTCTTAATCCCTTCGTAATTGTTGTTGCTTGAGGAAGACTCCCATCATTACTTGTTTAGACTGATAAAATCCCTCTCGTTCTTGGGATCTGGGAAGAAGAAACAACTGGGCAAGAACACCTGTGTGCGTTGATTTCGCCTATTATGCGCTGAAAGATAGAAATTGATTTTTTTGGGGAGAAATCAGGATCAAATCAATATGCTGCGGAAAGATTCAACGCATTAGAGAAGAGAGAGAAAGAGGGCAGGCGAAAATACTAAATAGACCCTGAGCTATTTACGGTGGAAGCATCATATCGAACGCACCATATTCATTCTTATTTCTTTCGTAAGATCTCATTCTTATTTCTTTCGTAAGCATCATATCGAACGCACCATATATATATATATATATATATATATATATATATATATATATATATATATATATATATATATATATATATTATTCAAATGTTGTTTTCTTAAAAAACTAAACAATATGATCCTGATTTCTAAATATTTCTTAAAAAATAAAATGTATACTACGTACATTAAAACACGAAAAATATAAATGGATAAATAATGCATTTTTATTATATAGAGAAAGAAAGTTTGCTATTTGGATCATTTGGAGAAGAACTTAAAAAAGAACCTACATTTGGTGAAGTTATTGGAGGTAATGTTAAAGTTTGCTATTTTATTTTCATTTGATTAATAAAGTTGTTATAGTTTAGACATTCATATTCAAAGTATCGTAATTTGAATGTATTAATTATATGTAGGTTTGTACACTCTTGAGTTTCAAAAGAGAGGTTTGTCTCATTCATATATCTTAATATGGTTACACGTGATGGATAAACTTCAATCACCCGAGTCAATTGATCGTATAATATGTGCAGAGTTGGCTAATAGATATAAATACCTTAGATGTATGAATCTGTAACTTGATTTAAAATGCATGATCCTTGTGGCATTGATGCTCCTAGATCTCCATGTATGAGTGATGATAAATGCGAAAAATATTTCCCAAAAAAATTGTTTACAAGACATCGTTTGATGAGAATGATTATGGGATATACAAAAGAAAAAACATGGGGTCACCAGAATGAGAAAGGATATCAAGTTAGAGAATCAATTTGTTGTATCATAAAAATTAAAACTCTTGATGAGGTATCAAGCTCACATCAACATTAAATATTGTAACAAATCTAATTATATTCCATCAAATATCTCTTTAAATATGTCAATAAAGATCATGATAGAATAAGTATTGCACTTACCCAATCTAACTCTAGCACTATTGATAATGAGGTGTATGATGGAACAGAAAAGTACTATAATGTTACGTATCTACGTGTGAAATATTTTCGAGAATCCTCTATTTTGATATACACCACATGTGGCTAGCTGTATTGTGGTTGAATATTCATCTCTCCAAGCAAAAATTAGTCACTTTTAAAGACTAACAAAAACTTAAGGATGTTACCGAACATACTATAGATAAACTTTCAATATTTGAATCTCGGATGATTGCCAATACGGATAATGCGGGAAAGAAATTAAATTGACATATAAAAAATTTCTAGGATAATTTGTGTACAATAACAAGGAGTGGAAATGGTTCCCGAGACAACAAATTAAAGGCCATCAATAGGCTGGCTAGAATATGTGCCAACAAGAATTGGAGAGTTATATTACTTGAAAATACTATTAACTATTCAGCGAGGATGTTTAAGTTATGAGAGCTTAAAGACAGTTAACAATGTTCGATATAACTCATTCGAAGAAGCATGCAATGCATTGGGGTTATTAAGCCATGATAAAAAAAATATTGAAGGTATGAAAGAGGGTGTTGAATTAGGATCTAAGAATTACCTAAGAAAGTTATTCGTCACATTATTCGTTACAAGTACCATGAGTCACCAACAAATTGTTTGGGGAAATCATGAGAAAAACTTTTCTATGGAAATCACTTTCTACTTCTCTAAGGTGAAATGGCAAGTTTGTCTTGAATGTCGCATCCAGTGGCATTGTAGCATTTCTTTTGCTTGGAGGATGGACATCACATTCGAGATTCACAATCCCTCTAGCGCTAATTGAGTGCTCAGTATGTGCCATCAAACAAGGGAGCCCAAAAGCATAACCAATCCAACAAGCAAGTCTAATCAAATGAGATGAAGCATGCATGATGAATAGATTTGCTTTTAAGGCATTGGATTACACAATGAGAGATGTAATGAGGTTCTCTAATAAAACTCTAGAAATGAACCATTCGAAGGGCACGAGTTGTACTCAGATGTGATTTTTGACAAATTCTTCTTGTTTTACCCAGAGATTCGAGAGAGAAAATTGTAGGTGCTACCATTATTTCTTTAAAATTGTAGTCGTATGGTAAAGTTCATACGTTGACGAAAAATATAAGATTACATTCATCTAGGTTCTCTTCCACAGATAAAGACATACAAGCTTCTTTTAATTGGATAATCAAAGTCGGAGATGAAAGGCTTGGACAAGTATTTGGTCGAACAACTGATGTTGGAATTTCGCCAGAATTCTTTATTCTAGACATAACTCATCCCCTCAAGAGTATAATGGATTTCGTTTATCCAAACCTATTGGAGAATATGAAAAATTATTCTTTTTTTAGGATATGGCACCACTGGGACCCACGGTCTAGGTTGTAGAAATGGTAAATAAATTTGTCCTATCTCTCATTCCTAGAGATGAGATGGTGCAATCGAGTTCTGATTCTTCATGCGAGGCAGATTCAGATGTAGGTGTTCATGGCGATTAGGTAACAATTGAATTTTTGAATGAAATCAAATGTTTGGGGATCACAAAACATTTTAAAAAGGGGTACCAATTATGATATTGAGAAATATTGACCATACATCTAGATTGTGTAATGGTACAGAATAAATCGTTGAAGATCCACGAAAGAATGTTATCAGTGTTATTGTGGTTTCGGGAAATCGAGTTGGGGATAAAGCTTACATACCCTGGATGAATTCGGTACCATCTGATACACGACTATCCCTGAAGTTCCAGAGAGGGCGATTCAATAGTCTTATATTTTGCAATGACTATCAACAAATTTCAAGGTCAAACATTGTCATTTAATGGACTATTTTTAACTACGTCGTTGTTGACTCATCGTAACCTTTATGTTGCTGTTTCATGAGTGAAGACAAAGAGAAAATTAAAAACATTGGTTTTAAATGACAATGGAAACCCTTGCAATCATATTAAAAATATTGTATACCCTGAAGTCTTTCACAACATTTGGTATTAAAACAAACTTTATTGAGTACACATTCAATTCCTCCAATAGTATTTATTCTACATTGGCTTTTTTTGTCTATAGTATTAAAAATCATGTGAGAAATATATTTTCTTTATTCCAAAAAAATATTTTTTTAAAAAAAAATTCTGAATCACTAAAATTTCGTTTGACCACATGTGAGAAATATTTAGAGGGGACTAGGAGAGCATGGTACCAAATGAAATTATGATATGACATTTTTCAGTAGGTATTTGTAATCCCAATAGGTCTCTTACATGTAAAATTATAGATCGAAAACTCTAATTTCCGCACAGACCTTGCTAATATTATCATAGTGTGATGTGGTATCTTCTATATCACCATTGAAAAATAGAAGCTCTACGAGTATAAATAATAACAACCTCTCCTAAGAAATAAATGTTTCTACCTAATAAATTCTTAACAAATATGACTTTCTATTTTGCCAAAAAGACTAGTCAACACCTTGAAACTAGGCCTGCAGGGTGCGGTTCCGAACCGGTACCGGCAATTCCGGCACCCAAACCGGCGACAACGGTAACACGGCTGGGGACGAGAACCAGTATCGAAACCGAAGAACATAATGGAAGGTATCAGAATCGGTGACTCTGGGTTTGATTCGGTTCAGATCATTTGATTTTTTGCTTTTTTGAATTAGAAACTAAAGTGGGAGACCGGAAATTGCAGGGGTGTCTGGCGAGGAGCTACCACAAGCAGCTCTAATAGCCATTGGGGAGCAGGGAGGGTTAAAAAGATTCTACATAAACCTCTCTTTTTTTCTTCAAAAAATCATACTGTTCTCTCTATCTCTTATCCTCTAATACCATCCTCTTATCTCTGTTCTCTTAACCTCTTATTATATTTAACATTCCTTTTATTTATATAAATATATAAATATATTATAAATGTTATAATATACAAATAATTTTATATCATAAATATATAATGTATTACTCATATTATAATGTTGAAAATATTAATGGGGTTATTGGCAAAACTAATGTATCGTTGGCACATATGTATATAAAATCATGCGTTGTAAACCATTCTAGGGAACTTAACATTGGACATGATTTGGGGTACAGACCTTAATTTTTAAGAGGAAAAATGGTAATGATCCTAACACCTCGGTGTATTCTCAACGAACGACCGTCACTATCTGCATCGAGATTTTCTTTTCTTGAGTTCTTCTCTTTGAACCTTGATGTCACAAAGGCAATGAGAATGCCTGAAGAGAGCATTAAAATGAGTAAAATAATTATAAGAACGGAATATACTCACTACCTAGAATTTTCTTCTCAAAACTCCAATAAAAGAGGTTGAGAGCTTGGGGAAGATGAAGTAAAAATTGTAGGATTTTCCTAAGTCTTGGATGTAAGAATGAAGGAGGTTGAGGGGTCTTATAATAAGAATGGGTGCAGGGATTCTGGGAGGAAGGACCAAGACACCATCCTTAACCATTGCTTAGCTAGATTCTAAGAGAGGGGGGTGTTCATGTTGGGCACCATCAAGAAATTCAAGTAAAGTGGAGAACAAATGAATGTGAAATGCCTCATTCATGGAATGTGCAAGGATTTTGGTGATTTGAGGTGAGTATATGTAGGTTGGCTAAAATAATCTCAAGATTTGATAAAATCCTTGCTCAAGAAAAATTAATTTTTTTATTTGGATTTCGGGTTGTTTTCCAAACAAACTCCAACTTTGAACTCAAGAAAGTAGATGCAATATAATGATGTATTCAAAATATTTTTCCCAATTCTTCTATTTTTCAGGCCACCCGGGCCAGTACAGTCAACTCAATGGTTAAAAAATTAAATTGTTTAGACTGGTTTTTGTGGCGTTATGGTGGAGAGGCACTCGGAACCCAGCTTTCACCTATTCATAGTGCATGGTGAGATACCAGCGCAGCTTTGAGTTGTTGACAATATTGATGTTTTAAGATTTTGGACTTCGACTCCTCTACCTAAAATTTGCTGAGTTTCGATGAGCCCATGCCTCTTGATGGTGGTTTTGTCTGGGTTACAGGTACAGATTTCAACCTTAATCATTGCTAGGGTGCGAAGCTTTAGTTAAATGAACGGTTAGAGGACTTGGGGAATGAATTGGAGTGGGAAGGGACGAGCAAAGCTTTAGAGCAATGAAGATTTTAGATTGTAAGTTGAAGGTGTAAGGAAGAAGTAGGAGGTTGTCGATGGGACCTAATAAATACCACAATTCACACAGGGTCTCGAGTTGAAATGATGAGAAAAAATCAATGTGAAGTGATAATTCCACCCCAACGCTTCATAAGAATTAAGTAGGAGTATTTCCAATTGACCAGTCCTTGGGTGACACGTCACACAGGAGACTAGGGACTTATGATGGAGATTTGGTCTACTACTGATTGAATTAGTGGGCCTGATTGGCCCAAGCCCAAATGCTTGTAAAGCATAACGATACATGGGAGGGGAGCGAGAGTGGGTTGAATGTGGAAAGCACATAGGCCTATGAGAATCTTCTAAATTTAAGGGAACTGTGTTGTAGTTGGAAACATAAGGAGTGGTGTGCAAGAATATGAGTTGAGATTTGATTCCTTCTAGATCCGGATAGATAATTTGTCTCCCCATAATATGTAAAAGAGACCCTCCCTATTAAGGGAGAGAGTTATTAGTTTTACAATATATTGTAAGATTTATATTTTTTATTTTCTTTATTGGATCTAGAGATACATCTCATGTTTAATAAATCGAGTTTAAGATTTAATTTATGAGTCGAAGTGGGTATGATTTATGGTCATCGTAAGCGATCAGTGGAATTAATAGTCGATCCATTTAAATCTTTTGTAACTTGTTGTGGTTCCTAGCGTTAATTAACAACAAGAGTTCTGGGCTATGAAGGATCACTGCCCTAGAAATTGAGCTACTCCAGTCCAACAAGAAACTTGAAAATGGTACAGTCCTAGTGCGTTCTCAGGATCAATTGATAATTATTGGATTCTCAATTCGATCGAATGTCAAATTATGATATTGGCAGTCAATGTAAAAAATAGTCTGATGATGTATGAAAATTTGCTCATTGAAGAGTCAAATCTATTAAAATAAAGTTGTTTTAGATGTCTTATACGTTTATTGAACCAATTCATGTATCACTAGGCACTAGAATATTTTTTTTAAAACAAGCACCATAGAGCATTGAAAAATTAACTCATTAAATATCAACTATATAAAAGACCCTTTCCGTATAAAATGTCAATGGCTAAATTCAAATACATTATATACGAGTACATTCAAACGATTGCATAATTTTCAACTCAATGAACACAAACCGAGAAAGGGAGAGTTTTATTTTTCGTGCACCCATATCTGACCTTTGCCAACGTTTAATCCTTCAATTTGTCTTTCAAAAAAAATGCTCCCAAACGATCCAATCGATCTGAATCGATGTGTTCCAAATCAAAATAGCTAAAACCTACCAAAAAACTAATTAGTTGCAACTTATGCTCTTTATTAATCAATGCAGCCCCTGGATGTGCACATTGTGCTCAAGCAGATTTAGACCATACCAAGAGTTCCCCTCAAAAGGGGCATCAACAAGGCCATCGTGCCGCAAATTGAGTCTCATTCCATTCCCCTTCGCAGGTTGTTCTTGAGGGGTTTGTTTGTCTTGAGGACATTTGTTGTTGTCTTGGGAAGGGGACATGGTTTCTGGGAGATTGACTGTTGTTATATCGTGTATGCTTGATCGCCTTCGATCCTTCCCTCCCGAATGCTGCCTAATGAAGTACTTCTGTGCATGACTTGCAACTTGAGTCGGAGACCTCGTTGTCACAAAATTGCGCGAGATGTTTCGCCAATCTCCTTTCCCATACTTCTTTAACCCCAGCAGGAATTGCCTGCAATGCTTGCCAAAACGCAAATAAATAAATGATCAAACATATCCATTTGCATGTGGATGTCAAAGTGAGACAAAGAACAACTAATGAGTAATTTACTAATCTTATTATATCACATTGTTGTAGACAAAATGAAATACATATTAGAAAACTCTTAAGTCATAAATGGCCATGTTGAAGTTACTCTATTCACCCTCTCCATCTCATGATATAGTTGTCTCTCTATCTTTGATCAAAATTAGTTGTACCCTTAACTTACTTAGCAAAGAAAATCACATGAATTGTCCAAAATTGCCCTAGGTTTCTCTACTTGAAATTTATTTCTAAACTATAATAAGAAAACAGTTGTGTCATTTCACAAAAACCCCTAAAATTTGAGAGACTTTAATAACTAGACAAATCCGAACGATGAAAGTACTTTAAGGGCCTGTTTGTTTGGAAGAAAATATTTTCCTCAGAAAAATTTTATATTTTTTTTCTCTGTTTGGTAACATAAGTACTAGAGAAGTATTTTTCAAGGGAAATATTTTCTCCCAACTAGAGAAAAAAAATTCATGTTTGCTTTCTAAGGAAAATTTCGACTCACTTCTCGCCCTCACCCCCATCTACCACCCGCCCCGCCCCGCCCCTACTTCCCCCATGCCCCTACCCCTACAACCAGCCACACCTACTCCTTCCCCCTCGTATTCTCCCACCCCTGTCAACCCCCACTACGGCACCCTTACCCCATGTTCTTTCGACCTATCTAGCTACCCCCAGTTCAGACCCACCTCGCTTGTCCACCCCTTCCCTCACCCCACCAAGTCACCCACCCCATCTCCCAGCCCCTTATCCCCACCCCACCGTCGTTCGTTACTCACCAACCCGCGCAAACCACCCATAGCCCTTCGTCCCTCAACCCTTCCCCAACACCCTCACCCTTCACCGCTCGCCTTCATGCTGCTAAAATAGTTTGATTATTTTGGTCAAATTGTGGCACCTTTTGACCACTGATTAATTATATTTTAAAATAATTAAATACTACTAAAAAATTTGGGATTTCAAAATTATATGTTAAAGTCAGTATAATTTTACTAAATTAGATTATAACTAAATATACTTTTTCCATAATTAATAGTGAAACTGTTGTACAATTTGACCAAAAAAAGTCAAACTCTTAAAATCTTTTTAGGACGAAGAGAGTATTTTTTTAATATCAATTTTGAAAGTTTTATAATTAAAAATGTTTTTTGAAAAAAAAAATCTTCCTAACAAACAATGAAAATATATAAGGAGAAAAAAGTTTCTATTGGAAATCAATTGCTGATGGTGCTGGATGAAATAAAAAGACCAAAATTTGTGATCCAGGAAAAGGGTAACCTGTGTTCATCCTCGGTCCAGGGCACCCCCTTTTTCCTTTCATGATCAGAAGCGCGGTTCAAACCGCTCCTCCTCCCGCTCATGAATTGCTTGTAGTACTCGTAGCCCACGTTGTCCACCCACTCCAATGTGAAGGAATGGGTGGGAGTTTGGTACCTGGGCAACGGGACAACGCCGGCCTCTATGTCAAGAACATCAGACACCAACTCTCTGTACTGTCTCAAAACATCACTCACAGTTTTCCCAGGCAACATGGCCGCCACATTGTACCACCTGTCTGGACTGTTCTCATCATCAAACAGGGCAAGTGCTTCCTCAAACCTCTTGTTCTCCTCCCGGGTCCACTTCGCCCCGCCCCCCTTCTCGTCATCACAGATAAGGTAAGATGATGTCTCAGATGACAGAGTCCCCATTTCATCTCAGGGGAATTTCAAGAAACAGTTGATGAAGTTAAGAAAAAACTAAAGTGTAATAAGTGCATGAGATTTGGTGAGAAAAGCATAAGAATATAATTAATGAGTGGTTCTTGTTTATATTGGAAGGCCTGCGGTGCTCTGCACTTGGGAGTAATGAGAGGGAGAGATCTAAAAGTGGAAGAAAGCATTGTCATTGGGGGATGGACGACAGACTTGTGAAGTTGTTATTGGCTAGATAGAATGTGGGGCCCTGCAGCACAAGAAATTTTTAGTATTTTATTCCAAATATGGAAGTTTAGAGAGTGTGAGAGAGAGAGAGAGAGAGGAAACAGAGACAGCTGCCCAATCACAGGTCTAAAAGGACAATAAGTCACACTGGTGATGAAGATTTTTATGGGCAATTTGGGAAGTGTACTCAAATAATTCTCCAGGTAGGCCACTAATAAGCCTGTGCTATGGTTTAATTTGTGTTGACGTATCATTATTTCTTCTTTTTGTTTATAATCATTCATTGTGTTTTGAGAAAGAAAGAAAGCCATAGGAAACGGCCGTGACTACCTTTGATTGGGATGGATAAATTGTACGTACACTAGTATCTGTGGTAATCGGGTCAACCGGATCGATTCCGGATTGAACTCTTTTGATTCGGATATATATTACTCACTCCGTCCACAAATAAACTTTCCGTTCATTATTCACATGGTCACATTTTATTCACTTTGTTGGTCTATTTTCGTTACCAATTTGATAAAATGATATAGTCATGTTACCTCTAGTTTTTGTAGATATTTTGATATAGTTTTTGAATATGTAATTTTTATTTTAAAATTTCACATCATTTTTCATATAAAATGATTTAAAAATAACTTCAGTCAAACATCGTAACGCGCAACGAGAAATTTAATAACTTTTCATTATCCATTAGTCATTATTCAAGTAAATGTCTACCATCTCTAGGCATTATTCCTCCCTCTAGACATTATTAAGTCCTATTTAGGAATAAAAAAGTTTAAATCCTATATTAGGAAATGACTTATGTTTTAGTCCTATTTAGTGCAAATTGTACTATAATATAATACTCTCTCCGTTTGCAAAAAGCTTTCTAGTTTGACTTGGAGCCAAAATAAGGAAGTGTTAAATTATAGTTGACTTCCAATTTTGCCCCCTGATGTAATAGGTAAAAGTAAGATGTGATGGATAGATTAATATTAGAGAAAAAGTATGATGTGATAGGTAGGATATGAAAAAGTAAGGGTAAAAGTGATTTTTTAATTGAAAATGATAGTAGTTTGTTGGAAGAGGAAAAAATGAAAGAGGAAGCTAAGTGTTTTTAAGAACGGAGAAAGTATGAATTATTTGTTATACGCGAGTAATATAATTATTGTATTTGTTCTAAGTTGTCATGTGATTACTCTTACAACTAAAAAATATATGTATATATACTCATCTCTAAACCTCTTGGTTATGATTGAGACTCAATTACAATTCCCAATACCAAACAGACTCATTGAAACAACGTTACATGGAATTCAAAACAAAACACTTTAAATTACCTTGTCGTATTTTCAAAAGAATTTCATTTAATTCAAAGATACAAATCATGCAAGACAATCAAAGTGTGATACAAAGTACAAACCAACCAACCAACAAACAAACAAAAATTTTTTACAAAGATTTATAATATGCTAGTTTACAAATATTTTGAATTTGCTTGAGCAAATTAACATTTCCTTCAATACACTCGAACAAAAACCAAACGCCATATCCATTGCCCACGCACTTTTATTATTAGGAGTAATACTTTTTGTGCATCTGCCCAAACGTAAGTTGTCTCCCCAGCTCGATCCTGCTATACAAATTAACTATGTGAACCGGGTCGATCGGGTTGCTGTTTCATTAACATAGGGGCAGATCGTTGGGTGGTGGCAGAATGCTGTGGTCAGGACCCTTTCCATTGTCCACTAGGAATGCCATCTTTAATCCCCATGTTGTGTGCACCTCTAAGTGGCAGTGCATGAACCACACTCCTGCATGTATACACGCACGACATTGTTTAACCGTTTTCAAAACTCAAACGCTAATAAAAAAAATATTTTTCGGTCTTAAAAATTACTTCTTCCCCCTCAAAAAAACTTTTCAATTTTGATTTTATTTTTGTCAATTAGTGATATTCTTAAAGCATAAATTTTTAAAAAATATACTCCCTCCGTCCCTTAAAAAACTTCTCATTTTGACTTTTAAAGGATTTAAGGAAAATGAATTTTGGTGTTGAATTTCCAAAAATACCCTTTGATGTAATGGATAAAGTAAGATGTGTTGGCTAGATCAGATTAATAGAAAAATAGTGTGATGTGATAGGTATGTTAAAAATTAATAGGGGTAAAAGTGACTTTTTAATAGGAAAAGAGAATTGTTTTTTGGGACGAAAGAAAAGGGAAGAGTTTTGTGGGACGGAGGGAGTATTTCATTTTAATTGAGTTAATCTTAGCATATAGTTTTTGTATATCAAATTTTTATACTCCCTCCGTCCAACAATAATCTTATTATTGCGCATTACGGTATTTTACAGAAATTATTCAAATTAGTTTTTATGAAAAATTGTGTGGAATAAAAAAAATAAAAAATTACAAAATTAAAAAACTAACCCAAAAAATCTACAAAACTAGAGTGACATGACTATATTATCTTTTTTAAGTGTGTATCAAAAGTTAAGCAACACAATAAATAAAGTTTGATTATGTTAATAGTAAACGTTAATATTATTTTTAGACATAGGTAGTGACATTTATTTATTCAAATTATATTTAATACTCCCTCCGTCCCAAAGTATTTGTCCACTTTCTTTTTTACACACCATCCAATGCACTTCTTTAATCTATTTTATCTTGTAATTTGTATATTAAAAAGTTATAGAAATTATATATTAATAATCAATATGTTAAGATTAATCAAACAAGATCACACATGACTATATTTAAGCTTACACATTGAGAGAATTTGATGAGTCAAAGTGCTTAGATGAACAGTTCTAAAAATCAAAAGTGGACAAAAACTGGAGGACGAATGGAATAAGTTAATTAAAGAATATCTACAAAAAAAAACTAGAAACAATGAAGGATATGTGGGATGAGGGAGTAGGTTAACGAAGGACATTAACGTTATAAATTTAAGATACATTATGAGGTAGGATACGTACCTGGATTGTCGGCACGAAATCTAATGGCAACCCAACCGCCAGCCGGAACTCCGATGGTGTTCCTCTCAACGGGATCGACGAGATTGAACTTCTTAGGATCCCTCTTGGGGTTGAAATTCCCCAATCCTTTCCCAACGACGAAGAAGTTGAATCCATGCAAGTGCACCGGGTGGTTTTCCGGCACAACAATCCCGGTGTCCTGTAAAACCAGTTGAACTGTCTCATTGTACCCCAGCCTGTAAACCCTCGTCCCCTTCGAAGTCTGGCGGTTTGCCGGGCCAGCACCGGTGTAGTTGAAAGCCACCGGCGGATTCCCCGGGAAATCCGCCGTAAACACTCCGTTTATCCCGTAGAAGTGTGCCTGCAGAAGCGCCGTGGTCGGCATGACGAACGTGACGTTGTTGATGGACGCGACGACACGGGTCCCGTTTGCGGGCGTGCAGGTCGGGCACAGATTGATCCCGAGCCCGACCGTGAAGAGGAGAGAGTGGTCGACCGTCCGCGGGACGTTCGCCGGGAACTCCTCGGAGTTGATGCTCCTCAGAGCATCGACGAAGCGGTTGGCCACCGCGGTGGCGTTTTTCGGCGGCGTGGAGGTGCGGGTGGTGGGGCCGGCGGCGAGGGACCCGGTGTAGTGGATGGTCGCGGTGGCGGTGTGGTTGTCGGTGGCGATGGGAGCGTCCATGAAGGTGGAGGCGGCCACCATGTACTGGCCGGAGCGCTTGTCGGCGGTGAGGATGACGCTGGCGGTCTGCCCGGGGGCAAGCATGACGGTGTCGGTTTTGAAGGGCTTGACGTAGGAGGCATCCACCTCCACAACGGTCAGCAGGTGGCCTGCAATCTTGAAAAAGAGCTCTTCATTGAGGGCAGCGTTGATTATCCTTAGCAAGTAGCTCTTCCCAGCTTCAACGCTTAGTTTATATCCACCTGTGTGTTTAATTAGGAATTATATATGCGTTCACAAATCATTACAATATAACTTTTCAATTAACGTAGGTACAAATAAACGTGGTACCTTGTGTGGGGCAATTTGAGACAGGTCCAGGATGACCATTGATAGTATGGGCATCGGAAACATTGGGAGCTAACCCTGATTTCAGTGCTTCATTGATCACAGCCTCAGTATCAGATTTCCACCACTCAGCTGCATTCAATATAATATAATATACTCCGTATATAATTGGGACTAATAATAATTTAACATGAATGATCCATATGACAAAATTTTACGGAGTACGGAGTATTAAGTAGGAGTAGTACCAACTTGATTATTTGTCTCTTTTGACTTTAATTTTAGATAAATTTTGACTTCAAATTAAATAAAAATGATACTGCTTTTACAATTTATACACTTTTTCTTTTTCACCAAAAACAATTTTATTTTCTATTAAAAAACTACTTTATTCGTATTCATTCGTACCTTAATTATCTAATACCTATCACATTATATATTCTTTTTACTAATAATTTACTCATCATATCGTATTTTTAGTCACCAGATCATGAGTAAAAAAGGAAAGTCAACTACAAATAAATATCTTTCATTTGTCTTACGGAATAATTGTCAAAATATGAGTCATTTTGGTGAACATAGAAAGTATTAAATATTAATACAAAAATAATTGTATTGGATTTATTATATAGAATATTTTCCAAAAAAAATAATTTTTCTAATTAATACATAAAATATAATAAACTGTAAATTTTATTTAATTATAAGTCAGATGTTAAAGATAATTGAGTTAAAAAACTCAAAATGGATGGATTATAAAGGATGGAAGTAGTAGTAACTACTCCCTCCGTCCTATAATGATCTTCCCATAGCACTATTCCAGCTTCACGGGAATTTATATTTATTTGTGTTTTTTCATGGCCTATATGATAAAATAAAATATTCTTGTCACCACTTGTTTTGTTGAACTTTTGGTGTAGTTTTTAAATATGTATGTTTTATTTTTTATTTCTATACCAATATTTAAATAAAATAGATTAAAAAAACTTAGGATTTTTCTTCGTTTTGCGAACCGGGAAGATCATTATAGGACGGAGGGAGTAAGTAAGTAAATGTTGAATGGTTGCATACATACCCAACAATAGAACCGCTTCGTGGTCCGGTTTAGGGAAAGGGTAAGGGACGCCCAACTTAGGCAGTATGACCAGTGCGCCATGGACCGTTGACCTTAGCCACAGCACATGTGCGTGCCAAAATAGTGTGCCCCTTTGCCCTGTCAAGGTGAAGTTGTACACATAGCTGTGCCCCGGTCTGATCGGGCACTGCGTTATGTACGCCGGCCCATCTGCCCAACCTGTTCGCAACTGTCTAACTCCATGCCTGCATCCACTCATCAATTCATCTTATAAATGTCACGCACAACGATACAAATAATTACTCTATTTAATAGAGAGTATCTTTAATACTTCATCCGTCTCAAAAATTTATTTTTTTTCTTTGTTTCTTATCCCATAAAATATTTATCCCTATTAATTCTTAATCTATATATCACATTATATATTTTTATTAATAGTCAATCCATCACATCCTATTTTTGCTTATTATATCAAAGGTATTTTTAGAAAATCAACACAAAATTATTTCTCACTCAAATTTCCTAAAAGTCAAAACAATAACATTTGTATGGGACGGAGGAAGTATTAAATTGATTAATGGGTAGTGAGTGAGAGATGCTTTTGATATGTGCAAGAACTTCATATTATGCATGAATATGTTTTATCCCTGTTCTTGGATATCATAGTGTATTTGTACGACTCTTGACCTTTTTGAATCAAATTAGACACACTTTGATATTCAATTACTCTCAATTTATATTACATATAATGAAATAAAATTTTGAAAGTCCTCAGTGAGAAAAAATTATTAAAATCATTTTTTATTTATACACTATAATTTTATTTTATTGAAGCTAAAAGTTTATTATGGAGTATCATGTTTGACTCAAAAAAAGTAACTGTACAGGAAGAAGTAATTACCAGTGAATAGAGACGTTGTATTTGACATGATTGACGACCCTGATAAGCACGGTGTCGTCTTCCCTAGCGTAGATGGTGGGCCCGGGGAACTCTCCGTTGACGGTGACGACAGATTTCGATGAACACAAACGAGTCATGTTCTTCATCACCACCTAATTTGTTAAAAGCATATTTTATTTCATTTAATATTGTGGGTGTAGAATTGTAGAATATAGGAAGTACTCTATAATATAAAAGTACTGGTAGTAGTTAGTACTAACTCCTCTAGGAACCAAGAATAAACACTGGAGTATAAAATATATATTCACGTAACAATCAACTAATAATCATTGATGACATTGCATTCGTAAGGGAAAAGTTTAATTACGTGATTAGAACGCCCAATGTTGGGCTCCCTCTACTCTAACGCGACGGCTTAACGAACAAATTGAAGGACGTACAAACTAACTGTTCAATATTACAGAATACTTTTTTACTCCGTATTCTTTTTAAGTATGACTCCATCCATTCCAAATCTTTGTTCTCATTTGATTTTTCGTGATCTTCGATGTTGCATTTTAATACTCCCTCCGTTCCTTTAAACACTTCCAGTTTTGACTTTTGGCAAAAATAAGGAAAGTGTAATTTTGGTTGATTTTCCAATTTTGCCCCTGATGTGATGGGAAAAAGTAAGATGTGATAGTTTGGTTATTAGTGAAAAAGTATGATGTGATAGGTAGGGTATGAAAAAGTAGGGGTAAAAGTGGTTTTTTAATAGAAAGTGGAAGTGTTTTGTGGAAAGCAAAAAAAACAAAAGAGGAAGGATTTTGTGGAACGGAGGGAGTAATTTATATCTTTACTTTTATATATATTCACAGATTACAAAAGTATGAAATTTCAGAAGTACGTGTTGAATTGTTGAATATATTGATGCTACATTAGTACATTTATTTTACAATTCAATATATGTTTACCATAATTTATGATCAAAGTTAAAAAATCATTGTAAATGTCAAAATGAAAAGAAAAATATTAGACAAAAAATATTAACTTTATTAATTACAATCTACTCCGTAGACCGTAATGTCTATGTAGTATAAAAGATGAAATTTAAAAAAAAAACAGAGGAGAATGTTTATTACGGAGTATAATTACTCCCTCCGTCCCTAAATAAAGTTCCTCTTTCATTTTTTCTTTGTCTCTAAATAAACTTCTCTTTTCCCCTAAAAAACCTCTTTTACCCCTTACTTTTTCATACCCTACCTATCACATCATACCTTTTTACTAATAATCTACCTATCACATCTTACTTTTACACATCACATCAAGGGTATTTTTGGAAAGCCAACACAAAAATATTCCTCTCTTAAATCCTCAAAAAGTTAAAAATGGAACTTTATTTAGGGACGGAGGGAGTATTTCTTAAATTTCTTATTTAATTCTTCATCAACTAATCTTGTACTTCAAATCAACCAGACAACCACCCCAGCTAAACCCAAATTAGGCATAATTCCCATGCTCAACGGTCAAGACTCAAGAGCTACATGAATTTGATGTTCCCCATTAGAAACTGTGACTTTTCAAAAAAAAAGAATTGTGACCATTTCACCTTTGTACTGATCGATGTAGCTTGACCTATGTGCTAGGATCAATGGTTAGCAAAACTGTTTTTCGTTAATTTTACATTTATAATTATCCAATTTTACTTTTACAAGTAAAGATGGCCTGGATAAACTTGAACCACTAATCACTCTCAGGTGTATGGCATATTATTACAACGAAATAAGTATTGAAAGTTTCAATGAGATAAATTTAATAAAAGAATCATTTTTATGTTGATATGAATTTTAGTTTTTAATTAAATGAGATCCGAAATTCATCTACTTTGACTTGAAAAAGTCAAATACGACGAAGGAGGCACATAGTTTTAAATTAAGTTTTCTGCTTTTTGCAATCCTTGTAATATACGGAGTATATATATATTTAAAAACGTTTCATTATTGAGTTTAATTAATTAATTATTTGTCAACCATGCACGGATGGAGTACTCCCTATGGTCTCCATAGATTTTTCCAGATACTATTCATAGACATATTCGTCCGTGGTCTTAAGGTCCATGCTCATTTTATGGATCTTAATGTATTAATATCTTAAAGAGTTGGGCTTTTGAAAAAAGAAAATATCCACTTACCGGCCAATGAAAAAGTGTAAGAAAGTCAACATTTCATATGTGTGCCTTAGAACTACCGAAGAACACTCCTATTCATAAGGTCAAATTTAACTTATTACTTTATTTGCTCAATTGTATAATTCATTTCTTTAAATAGTATAGTCTTGTCATCTCTAGTTTTGTATAAATTTTTAATAATTTTTTACTATAAAAATTTTATTTTTCAAATTTATAGCTACAATCAAATAAATTGAATGAAAAATAAAGTCGGTCAAGCCTTAGCTTGTAACACATAATGTGAAAATCTATGGGGAACACAAGGAGTACAAGAAGATGGGGAGAAAACTGAAGAGGAGGGAGCTAAGTCAAAATAAAGCTGGTCACACCTCGTAAAATATTTTTTTAACATCTTGTTTTGTACTCCCTACGTTTACACAAACAATTTCTATTTTGACTTTTGGCAGATTTTTTTTTCATAATTTGACTTTCCAATTATAATCTTAGTTGCATTGATTTCATTTGGATATATTAATCATTTTTTGTAAAATTGGAAGTGTTTTATTGAAAACATAAAAAATGAAAGATGAACTATTTTAAAAAACGAATGGAGTATATATTTTCCCTCTATGTCCTTATTTTTTCTCACTTCAATTTACGATGTTTAACTCAAATATTTTTTTATTATAGAATTTGTGTTTTAACTTTGCGAAGTTTAAAGAAGTGTCGTTAGAATTTATTTAGAAGATAATTTTTTTATTGAACCACATATTCCAATTATTTTCTTAAAAAGAATAAGAAATGGATGTAAAATCTATGTTAGATCAAAGTAAAACGAAAGTTTAGCTTAAATTTCATGGCGTACGTGGGTGACGAAGGGAGTATTTAACATTATACCCCACCGCTTAGCATATTACGTATGTCAATTAAATGAAACATGAACTTTTTTAGTCACCGAAGGAGTATGTAATACAATCTCTCGTCCTGAGTATTTGTCAAGTTTTGAATTTTTGCAGTTAGTCATTTTTGGTGTTTGACTTATAATATATAATTTATGTTATATTTAATTATGAGTAATTTACCTAAATAGGACTAAAACATAATGACTTTCCTAATCTAGGACTTAAACTTTTTTATTCCCTAAATAGGACTTAATAATGTCTTCGTGGAAGGAATAATGCCCAGCAATGATAGACATTACTTGAATAATGACTAAAGAATAATGACTAAAGGTCCTACATTCAGAAATAAAAACATATGGTCCTATTTTGGGAAAGTCATTATGTTTTAGTCCTATTTAGGTAAATTACTCATAATTAAATATAACATAAATTATATATTAATCTGATAAAGTAATATCTTAAAAAGATTTTATATAATGAATGTAATGAAATTATTTTATATTAATATATAATGCAACTTTTAATTAATATGTGATCAAAATTTGTCAATTTTGACTAAAAAAATGTTAAATGCGGATAAATACTCAGAGACAGTACTATAATAGGTGTCTTTTCCACGAATGATCCTTTCTTAACATTTTCGTTAAAAATATGGATAAAATTGCAAACTCACACTCCTCTCTCTCCTCCATTAAGTTTCGTCCCTCCTCTCGTACTCCTTCCTTGGCCAAATCCATCGTTAAGTTTGAAGCTCTGAATCCAAAACTGAAACCTTAACCTGTTTCTTAATTGTTCGTCTTCCTGATAGAACGCAAAATTGAAACCAGTAACCTTCATGGATGAGTTTCAAGGTTTGTTTTCGTTGCAATTTTCTGAGGCTATCCCATGAAACTCATCTATGAAGGTTATCGAGTTCGATTTTAGATTCCTGCAGGAAGGCAAACAATTGAGAGAGGAGTGATGGTTTCAGTTTTGGGTTTAGAGCTTCAAACTCAGTGATGGGTTTGGGAAGGAGTACGAGAGGAGGAAATAGGTTTAATTAATTGAGGAGAGAGAGAAGTGTGAATTTATAATTTTTTCCATACTCCCTCCGTTTCCTAAAACAGTTTCTATTTTGACTTGGAAGAGATTTAATTTCATAGTTTGACCTTCTAATTATACTCTTATTATCGATGAATAAAAGAGAGACAAATCATTTAAATGATTTATTTTATCAATGCAAATTGAATGGAGTATATTGTAAAAACTTAATTTAGATATATTAGCCATTTTTTACAAAAATAAAAGTGTTTTTGGGAAAACAAAAAAATGAAAGAGGAACTGTTTTAAGGAACCGAGGAAGTAATAATTAGGAACTAAATTATTGATATTTGATATGTGAGAACTAAATATGGAAAACAACCTATAACTAGAGACTATGAAATTTACTCAAATGGGTACTTCACTACTTAGCATATACAGTATATTAATATAGTTTGTATGCAATGTTTAACTAGCAGTTAAATCTTTTTTTTAAATTGTTCTTAGTAACTTAATTAGCTGAATGCTGGCAATTACAGTATGACTAAAGTAATAATTTCAAAATGTTATTTTCACAAAATACATGAGCTATCCACAATTTTCAAGTTCATGTTAATTTGTTCAAGATGATAGTACTCGGCATAAATTTAAAATTCTAGTTTGCCAAACAACTCGAACAGCATTTTTACCGAGTCAAAACGTTGTTTACCAAACACACCTATACCATTTGTTTTTACACATTAAATGGTACATGGTGCATTGATTGCATGCATGGGTGGGTGTCATAGTGCTACGTACGAAAAACCCTATGTACTTAAATATTATAGAGAAATTTACCTAAATAGGACTAAAACATAATGATTTTCCCAATATAGGATCATATGTTTTTATTTTTCAATGTAAGACCTTTGGTCATTATCAAGTAGTCATTATTCAACTAAATGTCCATCATTACTAGACATTATTTCTTCCACTAGGTCATTATTAAGTCATATTTAGGGAATAAAAACGTTTAAGTCCTACATTAGGAAAGTCATTATGTTTTAGTCCTATTTAGTGTAAATTTCACAATATTATATTGAGCACTACCACTTCATCCTTACCTTGTCTCGAAATAAATTTAGGGTTTAAAACAATTTATTGATAAATATAATATAAATGATTAAAATTTAATTAAATGTGAGAGAAAATTTATGAGTACTACCACCATCTTTGAATATTTGTCCAATTTTGCTTTTTTACAGTAAAAATTAATGAAATTTGACCACTAATTAAATAAAATTGATAACAGATATTGATACACATTTTTTTACTAGATTTTTTTTATATAATATTTTCGAAATATTTTGTGTCTAATCAATATATCATACGGAGTATATATATATATTTATTTAATTATATATCAAAAGTTAAAAGTGGTTGACTATAAAAAGTTGTTCAAGAAGAATAAAAAAGAAATGTATAGAGAATAAGATTTATCTCGAAAAAACGAAATAAAAAAGTGTGAAGTTTATTTTGGGATGCATTATATATGCATAGAGTAATTAATTAATTATGGGGTATATATATTCTGTGTGATGATTAATTATATATCAACGTTCGAAACAATGGAAAGTAAGCTTTTACGTACTTACATCAAACTTATAGTGTCGAACCCGGCATTCGACAATTGCCAGAAACAGGCAGGCAGGGAGGACGACGACAATGAAAAGCACGATCCGAGACCAAAAACACGCCGCCATACTTGCGTACTACTTTGTTTTTTTTAATTTAAATTTGTTCTCTTTGAATATGATATGTCTTATATATAGCAGCAATGCAATAAGAATAAAATCTAGGAGCATGTAAGTACGTAGTAAATATATATAATGGGGTATGGGATTATGGGATAATATATAATGGGCAACAACATATGTATATATATAAGCCAGCCAGCCAGCCAGGTAGCCCTCTGCTACCCAGTCGTTTTTGTTGGTTAGGTGAGACGTGTTGGGGCTTGGATTGGTCGAGGTTCCCATTTCGATCTCACCCTTTGTTTCGAAATCAACTTCCATCAACAAAACCATCCACTACTACTATAATATACCGTACCCATCTCCTTCAATTCATATTAGGTAATTCCATCCTAATCGTTTCTTGCATGTTACATTAAGATAGCTGGCATACTTCTTTTCCATCTTTGTGTCCCACTACTTTTAATTACTCTCTAAGTTATCTACTTCCACTCTTCCATAAAATATTTCATGACAAATTATTACGTGGTTTTGAGATTTATGTTCATTCTATAGATTTTAGCATATTGATATCACGAAAGAGTTGAGTCTTTTTTAAAAGAAAAGATTCATTTGTCAGCCCATGAAAAGCGTGAAAAAAAATAATACTTCCTCCGTCCCAAAAAGTTTTACACATTTTGACTAAAGTAGAAATTAAGAGACGGATAATTTTGTGTTGACTTTCCAAAAATAACCTTGATTTGATGTGTAAAAGTAAGACCTTGATATGATGTGTAAAAGTAGGATGTGATGTGTAGATTATAAGAAAAAAGGTATGATGTGATAAGTAGGGTTTGAAAAAGTAAGGGGTAAAAGTGATTTTTTAATAAAAATGGGTAGGAGATTGTGGGACGCAATTTTTTTTGAAAGGTGTAAATCTTTTTGGGACGGAGGGAGTATTTCATTTAAGTGGACCTTAAGACCAAGGAAGAGCAACTCACATTTCACATATGAAAAAAGTTGCTCCCAAAATTGGATAATTTTGATATTATTTGTTAGTAAAATTTGCACTAAATAAGACTAAAACATAATGACTTTTCCAATGTAGGACTTAAATTTCTTTATTCCCTAAAAAGGACTTAATAATGACCTAGTGGGAGGAATAATGTCCAGTAATGATGGACATTTACTTGAATAATGACTACTTGAAATACATTGGGAAATAAAAACATATGGTCCTATATTGGAAAAGTCATTATGTTTTAGTCTTATTTAGGTAAATTTCTCTATTTGTTAATTATAACTCATCTATCCTACACATCATGATATTCTAGCTATCCTATTGTAAAGTAATGACACACTTAAAAAATAATATCAAAACTATACTCCCTTCATTTTTCAAAACAGTTCTTCTTTCATTTTTTTCGGTTTGCAACAAAGACTTACAGTACATCTACCCATCACTTTCTAAAATTCTCTCTCCACCCTATAAATAGGCCCCCTTAGGAAGAGAGAACACAATCATTTTTTTAAAAAAAATATATCCATAGCTAAGTAAAGGGAGAGGTAGTGAGTAAGAGTGGGGTTGTGGGGTTGCTTGAAGGGAGAAAGAGAGACGTGGAAGACGCATCATGGAATCATCCCGCCAAGATTTGTCAAGTTATCGTTTTGTCTAAACCGACACTAACGATGTGCCGTTGATCTTAATCTTTAGATATATATTCCATGTTGATATATTTTTGTGCTTTTCGTTATGAATCTGAAACTATCAACTACTATTGAAATATATAATATTGAATATAATTGACATAGATACTGCGTACCACATATATGTGTACATATATACATACACACACAGATATATACATACATACATACATAGATATATATATATATATATATATATATATATATATATATATATATATATATATATATATATATTGGTTCTGGTGAGAATGCGATCTTAGGAGAGAATTGAGAATGAATCTGGTGCTTTAGATTGTGAGATTTAAGGGTCAGAATTGTATCAAAATTAGATGCATCAAAATGGGTTGAAAATGCATCATGTCGAAATGCACCAAAATCCTTTGAAAATGCACTATCTCAAATTGTGAGCGCAGGATGCAATCTGAGCCGCACGATGCATCAGATCCAACGGCTAGATTTCATTCTCATTTCTCTCCAGAAGGTGCATTCTCACAGGAAGATGACACTTTGTAGTAAGATGACATGTTTCAATCAGATGACGCTGGAGCTCACCACTGATCACTGCAAAGCTCACCACTGACCACTGTAAAACTCTTTACTGTCCACTGCAAAGCTCACCATGATTTTCCAACACTTTACATTTTTTTTCAAAATTTGATGGTTAAATGCTTACAAAGCCCAGCAACAAAGGTCACTGACTCTCATAGCAAAGCTCACCGAATATGTGCACAAAGCTCACCACACTTTAAACTTTAAAATGATTTCGAAAAAAAAAGAAAGGGCGGTGGTGCTGACTTCCAACCGCTGCAGACTACTGCCGTGGACCGGTGCAGTGGTTGACCGGTGATGCAATTTTATTAGCTTTTTTTTAAAAAAAAAGTGGTGAGCTTTGCATTATTGCTTGGTGAGCTTTCCATTGACAGTTGGTGAGCTTTACACTTTGACCGCACATGACCAATGGCCACCACCAATGACCCCCACTGTTGCCGTGGACCGGAGGTTGAGCGGTGTTTGACTGGTGGTTGAGTGGTGGTGCTATTTTTTAACTTTTTTTATTTAAAAAAAAAGTGGTGAGCTTTGCATTGACAGTTGGTGAGCTTTGCATTGGCAGTAGGTGAGCTTTGCATTGGCAGTTGGTGAGCTTTCCATTAGCAGTGTTGTGTGTTGTGTCATCTGATTGAAACATGTCATTTTACCGTAAGGTGTCATCTCACTGGAGTCAATCTCACACACACACACACACACACATACATACATACATACATACATACATATATATATATATATATATATATATGTATATATATATATATATATAGGGGTAGGTTCAGGTGAGAATGCACCTTGATGAAAGAAATAAGAATAAAATCTAGCCTGTGGATTTGATGCATCGTGCGGCTCAGATTGCATCCTGCACTCAGATTTTGAGATAGTGCATTTTCAAGGGATTTTGGTGCATTTCGACATGATGCATTTTCAAATCATTTTGGTGCACCTCATTTTGATGCAATCCTGACCCTTAGATCTCACAATCTAATGCACCAGATTCATTCTTATTTCTTTCATAAGATCGTATTCTCACCCGAACCAAAATCTATATATATATACATGATACACCCAAACATTGTTTGTCAATACTCCCTTGGAGTTAATTTCAAATAAAGGCCTACTAGAATGCACAGTCTGCAGGAGATTCCTTCACTACTTAGAGTGAGGGGCTGCACATTATCCAATGCTTGAGCTAAGACGTAAACTCAGCATCTCTACAGCCCTCAATGCCTGACCAGATTCAAAAGATTCCAATAAAATGAAATTGAAATCCCTTCTCTGAAGCTAGCCATACCAGCCAGTAGGAACAACCGTGAGGGAGAACAAAGTAGCAAGTAAAGGGATTTCTAGATCCTATAGGTTGCAGGTCTTCAAACACCTGCGAAGGCCCTGCCCATAAGGAAACCAAATAATCTTATTAAAATCTTGTTGTCTACTATCAACAGTTGCTTCCAATCCCAAAGTTCTCTGGCCTTGGTTGATCTAGATTATGATGATGGCTTATATAAATAGTGAATGAGGATGCATGAAAATGTTACCCAAATCTTAGCCAAAACTGAATCACCAAAACTGCTGCTTCAAATCAGCACATACTCAATGGAGAAAATCATCCTCATCATCCTCAATATCTGTTGGCATACTCTTCTTTAGTCTTTTCTTTGCTTTCTTCTTTTGACTTTTTGTCAAAGGCGTGTTGGCTTTCTTGGGACACACCTCTTTTTTGTTTGGGCAGCAAAGTCTAAAGCAATTGATGACTTCCTCCTCGAACGAATCTTGGCCCTGTAACTCCTCCCATATCAGTGGAGTTATTTTCCTACCTTCTGCAAGAATTTTTGCTTTGCTTCTGGTAACTATTTGTGAAGGTGAAAACGTTCTGGTGCCCCTAAGTTCCTTGCGTAGGCTTAAGGGTTGTTTGAAGCATCTTGAGAAGTCAACTTGCAAAGGCCTAAGCTTGGATTCTATGAATGCTCTATCCTCTCCGTCTGAGTGAGTATAGAGTATAGGTCCATCCCTTTCCTCTATAATGTCCTCCACTGCATTCAAACTATGTACTAGGCTCCTGTCATGGATCTTTGAAAAAGGATCCAGATGTTCATTGACTTTGTTCTCAATACCATGTCCTTGAGAGAAAAGTGCTGCAAAGGTATTTTTCAACACAGGTAAGAAAGGTGGAGCAAAAGGGGACATTGTACTACTAGATAGGGGAGGGAAGAGGGTTGGGTGGCATCGAAATGGCTCTCACATTCAAGAGAAATAGTGTCTGTGTTAACACTTTTGATTCGCAAATCAGCCTCAAGCAACCCATTAAGTTCTGTACTACCATAGAATATTTTTTTAATTGTACCCCAGATGTTTCAACTCCCAATGTATCCAATTGGGGAGAACTTAGTGAAAGGTGCTCGGTTATCGTTGCTGTTGGCAAATTTTGAGGCTGTACTGATGTTTGAGCAATTGTAGTAGTGGTAGGAGCAATCTCAAGAGTTGTAGTTGTATCAGCCTTGGTGACCTTATCAATGAAAGAAGACACAGCCTTGAAGAACAGAATCATATCATTATTCTTAGGTCTTGAGGGGATTATGATGTATCTTTTCCCTTCCTTTCTTTTCTCTTGTATTTTTACGAATCCACCCCTTCTGTTTGAACCAACTGCTAGCTCTATGGTACGGTTATCACCAAATGAAAAGAGAGCCCAGGCTCTGTTAACAGATATCCTTGGAAGTGATTCCATAATCCATCTTAATGTGTCCATATATATATATATATATATATATATATATATATATATATATATATATATATATATATATATATATATATATATACATATATATATAGGGACCGGTTCCTGTGAAAATGCACCTTGTGGAGAGAAATGAGAATGAAATCTAGCCGTTGGATCTGATGCATCGTGCGGCTCAGATTGCATCCTGTGCTCAGATTTTGAGATAGTGCATTTTCAAAGGATTTTGGTGCATTTTTACGTGATGCATTTTCAAACCATTTTGGTGCACCTATTTTTGATGCAATCCTCACCCTTAGATCTCAGAATCTAAAGCACCAGATTCATTCTCATTTCTCTCCTAAGATTGCATTCTCACCAGAACCAACATCTATATATATATATATATATATATATATATATATATATAT